TTTACCTCGGGTTTGCTCATTAGCAGAAGCAGCCCGAGCGCCATGTACCTTCTTCCATTTCTGCTGATAACGCTCAAAAGGTGCAAGGAAGAACATACTGCAATTATCTAAACTGGATCTGCACACAGCAGCAACATTACTGTCGTGTGCCAGAGCTATCTGAGTTCAAAGAGAAGAAAGAGGAAAATCCCAGTGTTCTACTCATAACCGCAGATGCGGTTTAAATGTTACAAATGTAATAGGAGCTGTCATAAAAACTGCAGGCATGACACAGCAATTTCAGTAAATACAGCACAGTAAATTGCTTATTAAATCAAGCTGCCCTCAAACAGAAGCTGTGGCTACAAATCCAAATGATACAATGACATAATTTAACTGCACCGAATCACATCCTTTTCTTCCCAACCCTGAGATTTCAGAGCTTCTTAGAGGAGCTAAAAAAACCTTCCTGAGGCACAAAACCTCCTGTGAGGCATAAGCAGAGTGCACAAAAGGGTAGTGAATGTGTACGCGCTGTGCTGGATTGTGTGCTTCTCTTGGTAAATAGAACTTAACCTCGTGAACTTAAACCCTTGGGCTCTGCGAGATGCAGTAAGTTTGTTTGCAAATGTTTTTCTCTGAAGGAGTGAGCAGAGCACTTAGACACTGTGCCAGGGCCAAAGAGCAATTAGAAGGGTGCTGGTGGCAGAAACGCTGTTCAGGCTCACTGTCTGTCCAGGCCAGTTCCCTGCCAAAGCAGAGCCCCTGCCCATGTCCCAGGTCCACCCCAATCACACCTCATTTCCTCCCACTCTAGGAGATTTACCCCCATCTTCCTAAAAAGATCAAATGGCACCTCAAATGCAAATGCACTAAGCGAGTATGACACCACTGAATTCATCAGACTTGTTACAAAGTGACGAACCCTAATGAACAAAGAAATAAGTAATTTATGAACTGGGTGCTCTGAAGGATGTATCTGGGTGAGCCAGTGGGAGGGACAACCCATGCCTGCCACTGGGAATTTTCTCATCTTCCACAGAATACAGCTGAGAACAGGAGCTCTCATTTCTGTTCTTCCACACCAAGGTCAGAAGTTACCAGGACAAAAAGGCAGTGCATCTTGCACATCCAAAACCGCAACACCAACAACTTAAATCTTATTTGAAATCCCTTATTTTTCTTTAGGGTACACACGGAAAAGATCAAATTTAAGAAAAATGCCTAGAATACAACAGCAAGAAGGCAGTAAGTAGGGCCAACTCCACAGCACATGAATTGCAACTGGCTGTGCATGTCCAAAGATGAGCACATGCAAAGGGTGATGCTGTTTTGTATGAAAGCTGCCAAGTGCATTAGCCTAATTAATACAAACTGTGTGTGTGCTGAGACTGACCCACAGGGCGTCAAAAAATGGTCAAAAGTAAAAGAAAATGACTGCAAGTGTTTTAAGACAAAGTGTTCACTTTATAGGTAGGTTGCAAAAAAAAAAAAAAATAGCAGGTTGAAATGGCCAGAAAGATTCCTTGCTACAGCAGAACAGCTTAAAAACACACTCAAAGGCTACATCACTGGAAATGTGGCATTCACAGTTTGAAACATCTAGCAGGAGCCTGGAAATTAACTTTGGTATCACTGAGCCACCACCTGCAGGTTTTGGAATAGATCTGCCAACCCCAAGACACTTCATTTGTGACTGAAGCTGAGACAATGCACCAAAAAGGGACTGCGACACACACACACACACACACGTAGGGAAATCCAGACCACCGAGCACCCCCCTTACTCCTGGGATGAGCCACAGAACGTTGTGTCCTCCGGTGGCCTACTGGCTGGGCTACAGCTTCCACCGTAGGCATATGGGGATGTTTTGGAAAAACATGTATCATTGGTGAGAGACAGGATAACACATTATCTAACTGGAGGGGAGCAGCTTATTAAGCAAGCTTTTGGCTGAAGAACTCATGCACACAGAGATGATTAATCTCAAAAGATCAAAATTTTCAAGCTGAATCACAGGTTCTGCATTTTGAAGACAGGAAGATGCAATTCCTGACAATATTTTATTTTTTGCCAGGTGTTGGAGATGATGCTACTATCACAACTAAGAAATAGCTGCCAGTCTGATCCTGCTCAGGAACCAAGCAATACAAAGTTATATTTTTACAGCCCCGAGTCAGAGTCACTGCACTCGTCCACCTCTTCCTTCTGGGGAGCTGACAGACAGATTTCCCATCTACAAGGGGACACTGTGCACACACACAGCTCTGACCTTTCAGCAAGAAGTCTTCAACACGACTCCAGATTTCAAAGGCTGAGTTTATCCTACTGGATGTAGAGCATAAGCTCTACTACAGCTTATAAGGTAAAGCCTCCCCTTCCTCAAATTTACAGATGCTTTTTTGAGCACTTCACATTTTAAAATCCCCACGTAGCTTGACAGACCTGCTGAGATGAAACTGCCATGACTTTGTACATTTGTTGAAAACGCCAGTTAAAATTAACTATCTCAAAACAAATCCCTTCTACTCAGCAAATAAAGATTTTTATTTTAGAATAAAAACAAGGGAAGGGAGTGTTCACACAGTAACCTTACTCCCTTGAGCAGGGGTCTGCAGAATTCTTCATTAAAAAAATAAAATCTTTTTCACTCCTTTTTAAAAAGTCCTTCAGTAAAAGAATTGGATTGCTTGTGCAATTTAGCACTTGTTTCTGAACTACTAAAACTTAGCTGATCACACTCATTTGATACTTTTTCTTTTGCTCACATAGAGTTCCTAACAGAAGAGGTGAGGAGCAGAGCAAGCACTGATGCTGTATCCACAATGCTAAAACACTTTCCACACACAACACTACTGAACCTCTGCGAGTACAGCATGAAAGTCAGCACTGCCGGTAACAGTGGGAGTGGGATAGGGAGTGGGGAAAGAACACACCATGTCCTAGGACAGTTTAAAAAAAATAGAATTAATTTGCTCATTGCCCATTTACAACAACAATGCAGAGGAAAAAAAAAAAAAAAAAGAAAGCTCTCAAACCTGGATAACTACGATTTAAGAAAAAACCCACAGCCTTGGCTTCAGCCTCCAAGGAAGCTTGTGAAGGGAAAAGGGGCCATGTGGAGGCCAGTAGGTGATTTGCAGGATGGTGGTGTAACGGTGCCTAAAAAATTAAACAAGCTGGAACCACGGAGTCAACTAGGAAGCAACATGACCCCCAGCCATCGTGGAAGTGAAGACTGTACAGCAAACAAGTAAAGATGGACTCAGAGAAGTTCTTGAGGTGTTTTTGTTAGAGGTACACTGGGATTTTTTTTCTTGGAATAGCCTACAGCAGTCTGACACAAAGAATGCATCTCAGAGCCTGTAGATTAAAGGTACAACATTTCAGAAGCATCTAAAGGATTTAGGAGCTTAAATGGCACTGCAAATTCCACAGGAATTTGAGCTGTAATTAATTGGACTCTTCTGACGTGTCTTTGTTTTTTGTTTTTAAAGTGTTATTTTCCTTTGCAATCTCTGAGAAAGTGTTTAAAAATCAGGATGTGATTAACATTACAGAATTACAATGAGCAAGACAATTAATGTATGCAAAAGTTATTTCTGATTTCTGTTTCTTCAGATTTCCTGGAGTCACTGTTCTTTTCTGGACAAAGGGGTTTAAGGCTTTCTTGAACTAAGCCCCTCTCTATGTAGCCAACTACAGCACACTGGGAGCACAATTATGCTAGTAAGATAAGACGAAATGCAGTGGTGATGCACCAATTCATCATGTTTGGGTTCTTCTAATGAACCTCATTACTCACAGAAGAGAATTTTCTCAAGCAGTTAGTCACCAGCAGACAGCTTTCCCTGTTACTGCTTCCTTTTTCTACAGCTGGTGAATAGTCTGGTCCTCCCCTCACCATCCCAAAAGTGCAATATTAGGAAAAGTCAACACCTAAATTAAAAGTAAAACAAACAGTATTTAACTTTCCCTTAACCAAAAATATTATCAATAAAACAGAAGAGCTTTCAGGAGCAAGCCAAACTTTTTCATTAAAATAAAATTAAAAAAAAAAAGAAAAGAAAAAAACAGCCTGCTGTCCTTTTAACACTACCAAAAGATACTGAATACCTTTAGCTTATTAAAACAAGCATAAAAACAAACTACATATTAATTACAGCTTGCATAGAAACATTTTGTTTTGTACTTTGTGCAAATCTTTCTAAATAAGGCATGCTTGGGAGTTTAGGTAGCAATGCAGTAGTAATCAAATAATGCTGAGAAACTGCAAGGAAAATTCCAGGCAGTCTGCAGTCCACATCCACTTACACAGTTCATTTGACTTCAAAGACCAACAGCTGATAGCTGCAGATCTGTCTGCAACATAAGGCAACATGGTATGTGTAGGGTCCAGCACCTGCTTTCGGGCCAGTCATGGGTTTAATACACATAAGATCACTTGAATTCAAAAAACCTGAGCTGCTAGTTAAAAAGAGGCCTTCAGATGTGGACTGTGAAGAACCCTGTTTTCAGGGAAAAAGAAGGGAAGTGGGGAAGAGGACAAAGACATGAAAAAGCACAACCTTTCACATAAAGGGGTTTTGTGCAGATTTTGCATATATTTTTATACCCTGAACTGTCCCCATGGGGCAATTTTTTTCCAAACAATCTATCTTCTAACAAGTTATCCAGAAAAGTATTTCTGTAACAGAAAAAGCTAAAACATTTGCCTCTCTTTGCCAGCCTACAGGTGTCTATTGCAGAAATTCAACAAGAATCAGTGACACTAAAGGGTGGCTGTGTAAAGAGGAGAAGATGAAGTAAGAACAGTATCAGAAATCTCAAGTTATGTAGCACAGAGGGAAATTATAAGGCCTAATATAAGGTACCATGGAATAACATTTTACCCCCTCCTTTCCCCTCCAAATCAAGTATTTTCAGGAAATATTGACATACAACCTTCTTTTTTAAGCAGCTTTGCATTAAAAATCTGTTTAAACTCCAAAAGCTTTTTTAAAACACATTCTAAAAACCCACTAATAATAATCCTCAAAATCCTCCAGTATTTTGCAACATAAAATGGAATGTTCCTGGGCAAGAGCTGCCAGCTCCTTCAGGAACTCTGGGAAAAGGGCAGCTGCAAGTACAGCATTCCTCACGTGCGCAGGAAGGCTGGGATGAGCCAGGCCCTTCTTTCCTTTATGTCCCAGGAAAGGCTGGAGTACAGCCGGGTAAGCTTCAGAGAGGTTTCTTCCCTTCCCTGCGTTGCTGCTGTGCTGGACGTGACCTAAAGCCAGGAAAAGAGGAGAGGAAAGGAAAGAAAAAGAAAAAACCACCTCAGCACACTAAGCACTCGCAGTACTTGCACAGTGTGCAAACCCAGTTAACAAGGCCCGCGCTCAGAGTTGTAGTTTGCAGTACCCAGATGATGCAGGGAAACACTCCACTAACCCAACATTTCCAAGTTCTACGCGGCCTGATTCTATTGCATTTTTTATTAGTTATCATTCCCCACGTTATATATTATTCAGTTCCAACTCTGATGA